CAATTGCTGTCCATTATAATCAAGATTATAATGTACACAAATCTTGATGTTATTTCACAAAAATTGGATTTTCAATTCTGATTCCTAAGTAAAAAAAATAGAGAGGATAATCAAATTAAAATCATACATCTTTAATGCATTGCTAATCTTAGGAATCGATTATAATCAAAAATAATCCAAGAACCAAAATGTCATCGATTATTCCTATTATTTTCTATTATAGTCGATTAAAAATTGTGTAAAAGATTTCGATTTTAATCGGTTTTCCTTCAGAGTAAATGGCGAAATCTTTAATCAATTTTCTTAGATTTGCATCGATTATAACCATTTTTTTCCATGAATGCTTAATTGATTATAATGAAAAGTAATAGAAATCATGACGAAATGCTGTTTTCTTGGATTACTTTTTGGTTGTAATCGATTAAAGGTATATGACTTTAGTCGAACTTTAATAATTTTTCAATCGGTTTTAATCTGATTATCCCCCTAATTTTTGTTTTCATGGGTGAGGCCCACAGGATTCGAACTTTTTAATCAATTTTAATCCTTAATATTTTTTATTCGGAAGTCTTTTGAAATTACAGTGTTTTCAGAATGTTGTTTTTCTCATCAGTATCCAGCGGATTTTTCTATCTTTAAGTATTACCACTAAGCTTGAATGGTATTATTTTCATATCATAATAATTAATTTCCTGACGATAAAAGCCTTCCAAAGTTCTATATGAAATTAATGGGAAATATTAATTACAGTAAAGCCACCCTTCTCAGAAAGCGTCTGTAGTAAGGATATTACTACGTGTTGTAAGTTTAAACGTAGAAAAAAGCCGTTCACAATTGTATTCTTTTACCATTCAAAAAGGTTTGACTTCGCTGAAAATTAAATATGATGCTGCACAGAAAAGAAGTGCTTCAGGAAATTTTTGTGGAACGAGTTCTCTTCAATTGGGTTTTTGAGCAAAGAATATGCTTAAGATATTATTTTCAGAGCGAATAGTTTCATTTGCATAATAGCTGTTTTTGTGATGCCGACAATATTCGAGCTGGTAGATTGTGGAAAAACCACATTCTCCCTAAAATGCTTCTGTCGAAACCCTATGATGAAAATAAAAATCATAAGAGACTATTCAGGAAAACAAAATGGGCATGTAGATCTGAAGAAAAGACGATTTTGTTGAAATACCTCTAGCTGTGAAACTTTGCTGTGCATTTTTCGATCACGGTGATCGATCATAAGCGCAAAGTAGTTTAATTTTTTTGTGATTTGATAGCACACTCAAAGCATTAGAAACTAGAAACTAACAGTATGCCAGCATAAATGACTCCCCATCTCCTAGCTTTTTTCTTGATACCTCTTTGGGTTTTCCAAGCGCCAAACCATAGGAGCAAAGTAAACAAACATTTTTGTTGAGCTTTGAATGCTGTACTCTGAGTGTGCATAAGGACTCTTAGATCAGAAGTCTATAGAATTAAATAAATGTTAGTTTTCATGAACTTTCGAAAGTATCTTTGTTTTTCACCGTATTTTTCCAACGTTCAGAAAAATACGGGCAACTTGTTGTTGTATTTTTTGTGCAGTAAGCTTTTGGATTATGAAAATGCAACTAAACAATACGACGTAAGGCTAGTCGAACTCTGAAGTAGCGCTACTTCAAATTGTTTATGTGGAAAATAACAAGATTAAGTATAGAAGAGAAGGATTATTTAGTTCTTTGAAAAGTAACTGCTCTATGTAGAATCTTTTACATGCTGCTTCAGTATCAATGAAAACGTTTTGAAAGTCATTACTGATAGACTGTTGCAGTATTATTATGGTATGTTTTTCCTTTTATATCTGCGTTGGCCATTTCTGTACGGTTTTATAGAGAATGCAATGCTGAATGTTTTTGGAAAAAATCCGTTTCGAAAAAATAAAAATTGACAGAGATATGTTTAAGCTCCATATATGAGTCATAGAGGGTCCTAGCATAAGGAAATATATAAATTGACAGAATGGAGAGAAAAAGTTGCTGCTTGAACTTCAAACTGTACATATTCTGTTATTCAGGCAAACACCCTAAGCCAATTAGGCCAGAAATGACAGTTTAGTCTCCGCTTAGCGCTGGAGTGCACCATCGCCGACACCATCAATATGGAGTAAATAACGATGGTTGATTAATTCTGACTCACCTGTTAATTTGAGAATGCGTGCGAAAATACAAACTGGTCAGGAAATCTTCAGAGCGAGCATTATTTATTAAGTGACTTAATTTGTCGGGGTATTTGTAAAAGATATGAACACTCAAGAACACCTACAAACATCCAAAATAGTTGAACATTAGAATGATATGCCAATGCACACTGATTTTGTTTTTCAAGGAGACTTGGAATGTTGCCAATAAGACTTTCACCAGTAACTGGCGAAAGTCGACACGAGCAGCTCACTAAGAAAATGCTTGGATATGACATCCTCACGTAGAAGTAAATATAATGAAAGGAAACAAACTAAGAGAAGGTTAAAGACAACAACCTAAATACAATCTGATAATCAGCTTCGTATTGAAAATGACATGTTTGAATGAAAGATTTCTTTTTTCTCCTTTGCCAACAAGGACACCAACAAGATAAGCGAATGATGATATTGTTCCAGTCAGTGATCTTTTGTTTGAAGCCAATAAATTCAGAAGTTTGGCGATCTATTTACTTTTATACAAAAGTGGTTGATATTAGTGTCCCTAAATAAGAACTGTTCATAGCCACATTCTACCTTCAATAGACGTGTTGCGGTACGTGTTGTGACAGGCGTTGATCAATCTACAAAGTATCTGAACAGAATATATGCTAACGGTAGGCGTTAAGTCCTTCAACTATGGACCAAAGGTTGCTGTGTGTTTGCCAAATTCGCAAGATCATAGAAAAAATCGTATGATGAGTATGGGTGTAGATAAAACTCATATAAACATTCACAAATACACTCACATCCATACCCAGAATACTTTTTTCCTGGTCTCATCTATAATAATCGACTGTCGGTATTAAATAGCTGTTTGGAGACTTGATACTTGCGTACAAGAAGTCTATTGTCAGACCAATAGAGAGTGTTTCATTTGTGTAGAAATCGTATTTCCTTCATCCCTGAGTCTTTGTATGCTTTGACATGTTAATCAAAGAAACAGAATTTTAGATGAACTATTGTTTTTTGACAGAACTCAAATGAGCGTAAATCTTAAGTAGCTTTACGTAACGACTCATATTAATAAAAAAAACGAGGAACAAGGGTCACTTTAGTCGTTAATATTAACAGTTACTAAGTCACTTAACTATTAATGTATCCCTCAACTCATAATTGGCCTAGAGTCAGGTAAATTTAAATCCCTTAAAACTTTTGGAACATGTTTGGACTGTAATGGAGAAGATATAGTAAAATTTTTCAGTTCTATAACATGAGATTTTGGAAGGTATATATCAAGCAAGTGTCGCAAATAGGTCTTTAGTCTCTTCAAGTTCTCTTTGTTTTTCATTGTATGTATTTAATCTTTTATGAAAGAGAAGGATAGAATACAGAGCTTGTTGATCCTCAGTTTGTTAAAATTTCATGCTATACTTTTTCCGCCCCCGGAGACCTATCCAGTAAAAATAATGAGTTTCCAATAAAACCTCACTAAACATTTTCCGTAACAAGGAACCGACGTCTCCATATGCATTTTCGAAATTTCGGAGTTGCCTTTTGCCACGCCTCACAATCACCAATTTTTGGAACAGGTAGTCAAATTTTATAAGGCAAATGTGATTTTCACAAATTAGACCTTCCCTGCCCAAGAAAAATTGATTGAAATAGTATTACCTGCGCACATACCACTTATTTACATAGTTTCAAGTATATTGTATGTTTACAGAAAAACCTTTAACTTGATACTAATGGTTTTGTGATCCATTGACCGTTAATATTAAACAATAAAGCGATATCACTGGCCCATCTTTCAATATTATTAACCACTAACTGAGAAGTCAACTCAAATGTAAAAGCGCTGTAAATATGTAACAGTTATTAACGTTACACTTAACTTCATGTATGCTATCCTCTACGCTATATTAATGTGTTCATCTGTTCACTTTGTGACCAACTATCAGTGTTCTATTGTGTGATTTTTTTTCCGGTTTGCTTCTGCGCGCTTATGTGTGATCTCTTTCTGCTGTTGAAGGAGATGTAAACAAAGGATGGCCATGACTTGGGATATGAGGTGAAAAACCACACCATCATCTCGACATGTACAGGCAACACACTCTCACAGTTCGTCAAAGAATGGTCTGACCGCTTCTCCAAAGAACCTTGCTACAAACACGTCGCGATGGGCGCATCTTTACACGGACAAACTAACATAATAGATTGAGGGCCAGATTGAGTAGTAATCAAAAGCACTTACATTAGAGGATATATAAAGGAAATGTGTTAGAGATTATACTAAGAGATTAGACTATGGGAATAGAATGAGAGGTTCCAATAGCAAGATAGAATAAGGGATATATTAAGAGGTTATATTAAGGGGATATATATAGACTAAGGAAGAGATTAAAAGGTTAGATTCAAGATTTTGAGTAAGATGTTGGTTTAAGAGATTAGGTTAAGAAGATAGATGTACATTTGGCCGACAGATTTCGGGAATATTCGTATATACATGTAGATAACGGTAAATATAGTAGTAGTAGTATAGATAATTGACTAACGGGTTCTTGTCGGCTTACTGGTATTGGATTGGAATCGGTACAAAATTTTGCGCATGAAAACCTTTCTGGAACGAATTGACAACGGTTTTGTGTGAAATCTTATTTTTACGAAGTTTTGAAAATATTTCGTTTTGTTGTAAAATTCGAAACCCTTTTCTTAAGTTTCGTATGGTACCATTTCTTTCTTCGCTATACTGTGCAGTTTGATACCAATACGATGTTAAAAGAAATATAAACATAAAGCTGAAATATTATTAGATATTTTAGCTCTTCTCTCTTATCTGTTTTATAACAAAGATATGAAACCAAGTGAAAACATGGAACATAATTCCTTTGACAAGAAAAAAAGCAGAAAATTACAATCAATTTTAAAGACTAGCGCTGATAATGAAGAAAAAATGCGACAACATCCACAATTAGGCGAAGCAAGCAAGTTTTATTTTGCATGCAGAAACGGAGACATTGATACAGTCAAACAAATTTTACCTACTATTTCTTATGATCGATTAAATCAATTAGAACCTAATGGAAGTACTCCACTTCATGCTGCAACATACTTTGGCCATTTAGAAATTGTTCGTCTACTTCTACATGAATATGGTTGTCCACGTCACCGAAAAAATCTTCATGGCTTAACAGCATATGAAGAAGCACAAACAGACGAAATGAAACAACTCTATCACCGACCATTAGAAAAAAATCGATTCTTTGACGAATCAAACAGTGTGAAACGAACATTTCAAATTGTTTCATTATTTCCAGATAAAACTGAATTAGACGACCATGAAAATGATGATCATAATGGCAATTGTGATGATGATGATGATGATGATGGTGTTGCTAAACCGAACAAAAAATGGCTTACTGGTTATCAGACAAATGAAGAAATAAAAAAACAATTAGATGGTCTTAGTGGCGCAAAAGCGTTGCTTCAATCGCGAGTAGGACGACTCATCATGAAAAAATCTATGAAACATAGAATTTGCAAAGAGGACTGTGAATATGGTGAAGAGGAATATGCATATGTTGCAAATCAGAGATTTGAACAACACGCTTTGAAAAAATTGTTAGACGAACAGGTTACTCCTGACCATCCTGAATATAAACATTGTTGTTTCCTACTTAATGAATATATTCAACAAGGTACAGTTGAATCCTTATTGACGCTCTATTCAATAGAAACACCATTTTATCAACAATTTTGGACAAACACCAACCCATTAGCATTTCCATTGTTCAAGCATCTTTCAGATTTAAAACAACGTCATTTTCAAGGAAAATCTTATCGGGGCATTAGTATGACGCATGATGAATTATGTGAATATCGATGGGGATTGAAAAATAATGACAGTGTCATATCAACAGCAACGTTTGCATCAACATCTGTTATTCGGTCTGTAGCTGAAGATTTCGCTGCTCAGGCTTCATCTTCACCAGTCAAAGTAAATGTTTTACTAATATTTCATTTTCCACAACCATGCGATACAGCAATTCGCTTAAGTAAAATACCTGAATATGGTCTACCGTGTATATCGAATTTTGAAAACGAACATGAAGTATTGGTTGGTCCACGAACATTTTTCAAAGTGAAGCAAATAGAAACCAGTGTACCGAATGAACAACGTATAATTTATCTAGAAAATATATGTGGCGAACAGAAAAGCATATTGAAAACGATCAAATTTTTCTTGAAACAAGATCTAATTAAACGACTTCATCGTTGAACAACGGACACTACATTGACTAGACTAAATGTTCAAGTTTCAGACGACTTGTTTCAATAACAGATACGAAAACAGATGCAATAACTTTTCTTAAGTCTGAGTATAATACTCGAGACAGTAGATGGATTAAATTGATGAACTTTGACAGTAGTAATTGAAAAGTGGAAAGCGGGGTGGGTGTGGGTGTGAGTGCGGGTAACGTTAAAGGAATAACCACACCAACACCCACACCTAATAGAATATCACCGTAAAAATTGTAATATAAACTTCATGAAAAAAAAACTGTAAAATCAAATATAGCTCTCCCTCCATTGAAACACTCGTGTCTTGTACGTATAGGAAACGGGTCGTCACTGTAAGTGTGGGAGCAATAGAACTGAGCACAATACCCGCATCTACACTCTCATTAATGAAGTAGAATGACTTGGCATAGTTTCAATTCTCTGGTTAACACGTATAGCAGAGCAAAGTACGTGGATATTATATTCATTGATTAAGTGAAGTATGTAGCGGATCAATTTGAAAAACAATTTCTAGGAAAATGTCACTTTAGGGTAAAAATTTAACACTGAAACACAGCCGAACGAATGCTTTTCAAAGAAGCATATTATAAAATTCATGTGCTGAATTCATTTGAAAAGAACGAATCGTTCGAGATCTGCTGGATTTTCAGTTATTTCGATATCATTGGATTGGTATCCTTGAAAATTTTTGTTTAATTTCCTGCGTCCTTCCGATGCGTCACCAGTAAATATAAGACATTTCTGATTGAATCCGAGCTTTCGTAGTTTAAGAAGTAGACGGACACCAGCATCGTTTGGTGAACTCTCATTATCTCGATTCATATCAGTAACAATACGAAATGTATTGCTAGTCTTTAATCGTTTGCCAAATTCAGATTGAAGGAAAGCCAATGCACCTTCAGTTGTAGACTTTGGAATGAAATGAACATTGACTTGAGTACCAAGAGTACTTGCTTTTTCCATATGTTCTTTATTTTCCCACCATTCATGAAATATATGATCATCAACCCATAGGATGACATATTTGCAAAGACCAAGTTCAAGCTACAGTATTCTTTTTAATATATTAAAACTAAATAAATCATATTACCTGTCTCATGTAAATAATGGTTTTTCTATCTTTAATTTCGGTGTGACATATAAGAAATGTGGAATGAGGCAAAAATAGAACTTCATCTTCATCTTGAGAACAATTAGAATAATCTCGTATACTTCGACCAGTCAGTGAATGAATGATGAATTTGGTATTGCGTTCTTTAAAATATTGAAGATGTTTAGGATTTTGATCATCACCTTTATCAGAACTACTAAATTGAAGCCATGTAACAATTTCACCGGGTTGATAATCCTTAAGGTCTTTCTCACTCAACTTAACATAGCGTACAACTCGACCCCAATAAAAATTAATATATGAAAGACCTTTTATGAGATAATACATGATCATAGCAGCATTATCATCGACTTGTACATTTTCTGCATTTGTTGCTTTGTTTCGCTGCCAACGACGAGCAAAAATATTTGCATTTACATTGAGCATTTCACTATATGCTCCTGTGTAAAATGCAATAGCAAATGCGTATGCTTTAGCATCATCTTCGTTAATACGTTTTTGCAAAAAATTTTTTTTAGATTTTTCAGTTGTCATGAGATGTATACTGATATAATCTTCTTTATCATACTTGCTGCATGCTTCTACTAGATTTGAAAACGATGGTTTCTTTCCGCGAATCAACATTTGACTCAACATTGGGCCAAAGTCGTCTTCAACGACAGCATATTCTTCACGTTTCTGAAGAAGCTGAGATGCATTTTGATAAAGCATAGCTGATTCAAGATAGTTTTCAACATTTTCTGATTGAAAATTTGTTGACGATGGCTTAGTTTTATAATTTGGAACTTTTCCAACTGATTGGACGTAACAACAGTGTTGCAGTCGCATTTCTGGATTATCGACATTGATGCTAGCATTCTGGATGTGATGGAAAACTTCCATATGAGACATTCGACAACCCAACCGTTCTACCTCATCTTCATCCATCATGTATCTTGGTTTTTGTTCATCTGAGCTTGAACTTGAGGAGTCTCGTGATCGATATCTATACCTTGCAGCCATTAGAAAACGAATATTGTTCGACGAATTAACTAAAATACACAGTAAATTTTATGAATACCAGTACGAAACCTCGATTAATGGCGTTTGTTTATCGATGTGGCGACAACACAACACAATCCATCACTGTACTCGTGTAAGTAGGTATGTTGCCAGCCGTACAGATACGAATGACAAAATGCTATAGAGGGCGCATACAGACAGTGTCGGCAACAGTAGAAATTCTCAATTCTTTATACTCCACTGTTTTTCAGCATTTGCAACCGATACTCACCAACATGAAACATACAGACATATTCACTGTAGTGACGTATCCATATATAAGTAATATACGGAAAAGAGGTTCTT